GAGGAGGAGGAGGAGGGGCGACCACCATCGCCGAAAAGACCGCAAACGCCCCCGATCGCCCCTCCTTGCTCCTGTCCCCGCCCCTGTCGGGCCGCCCCTGCTGCCTCGCGGGCCTTGCGCCTCCCTCCCCCTCCTCCTCCTCTTCCCCCTTCCTGACAGATGATTAATAAATTCGGATTTTGCAACGCCCCAAAATGATTTCGGTTTAGTGCATTACCCCCAGGACTGATGCTCAGGGCGCCGTCCCCCTGAGAGCTGGTGGGGGCGCTACACCCGCGACCAGCGGAGGAGGGGCGAGGAGGAGGAGGAGGAGGAGGAGGAGGAGGAGGAGGAGGAGGAGGAGGGGCCGAGGATGAGGAGGATGAGGATGAGGAGGTTGAGGATGAGGTGAGGATGAGGAGGATGAGGAGGATGAGAGAGGAGAGGAGGAGGAGGAGGAGGGGAGGAGGGAGGAGGGAGAGGAGGAGGAGGAGGAGGGAGGAGGAGGAGGAGCGGGAGGAGGAGGAGGAGGAGGAGGAGGAGGAGGAGGAGGAGGAGGAGGAGGAGGAGGAGGAGGAGGAGGAGGGGCGAGGTAGGCGGAGGGGCGATGGAATGCGGAGGAGGAGAGGAAGAGGAGGAGGAGGAGGAGGAGGAGGAGGAGGAGGAGGAGGGAGGAGGAGGAGCGAGTGGATGCGGTATGAGGAGGAGGAGGAGGAGAGGAGGAGGAGGAGGAGGAGGAGGAGGAAGGGATGAGGAGATGAGGAGGGGCGAGGAGGTGGAGGGAGGAGGGAGGAGGAGGAGGGAGGAGGAGGAGGAGGAGGAGGAGGAGAGGACGAGGAGGACGAGGAGGACGAGGAGGACGAGGAGTTGGAGTTGGAGGAGGAGGAGGAGGAGGAGGAGGAGGAGGAGGAGGAGGAGTTGGAGGAGGAGGAGGAGGAGGAGGAGGAGGAGGAGGAGGAGGAGGAGGAGGAGGAGGAGGAGGAGGGGTCAGGCGCCAGGTGGTCAGCCAATGGCTCGAGTTGTGGCGGACTCGGCATGGCGCCCACGCGCGCGTCAGGCGTGCGCGTCCTTGCTTGCCGGCGGCCCTCGCGCGAGCGGGGCCCCGTCGATGGCGTCGCGCGCGCCGGCGCCGCGCTGCTGGACACCGACTGGCACCCCGAGTCGCCCCAGCGATGGACGAGTGACTCATCCCTGGGTCCGACGATAGGTTCGCAGTCGCTGGCGCCTCCGATCAGAGAGTGAAATACCTACCCCGCTTTCGCTTCCAGGCAAAACCAAGTCATACCACGCGCCTCCTCGTCAAGCGGCCTGACCAGTACAGGCTGCAATTTGGCATCGTTTGGTATCTCTTGGAAGCGAGGGTGGTCAAAAGCGAGGTAGGTTTGTTTTCCCCCTATCCGAGCTGCTCGAGGGCATGATCGGCGATGTTCGCCGTCGCACGTGGCAGCGCGCTGCCCTGCATCCCGCTGGTGACAGCCAGGTCAACGGCGCCGACATGATACACATGCAGCGGGAGCTCCAGCGCTACTTGGCCAAGGGCGACCTCGACCTTTGGGCGCATACCGTTGTCGTGGTTAGTGGCGGCCAACGGACCCGCGAGCGTCAGCAACAGGCTGGCTACGACTCGGTGTGCCAGCGGTGCCTGTCAGAGAAAGAATCGCTGTTTCACCGCATCTAGAGTTGCCCGCGCAACACGGGCCATGCAGGTTTTGATGCAAGTGAATGGTTGATGGGTCGCGCTCGTGCTGGACGGGAGCAGGATCCTGCACTTTGGCTTTGCGGTGCGTGCCCGCCCGAGCTGACCACGCCGATCTTCGACGAGTGTCGGGCCGATTGCATCGAGGCCTACGGCGAGCCTTTCGACGAGTGCCGCTCACAGCGCGACCAGGTACTGCATGTTTTCGGCGACGGATCTGGTGGCCCGCGCACAGCTGACCCTCGACGGCGCCGCGTCGGAACTGCTGCGGTTGCTTGACGGCCTGACGGGGGATCGTGGACGCCAGCTGCCATCATCATCGGCGGCCTGCGGGGGCCCAGGCAGTGTGCTTAGAGCGGTCGACTGGAAAAAACGCTTCCGCACTGATCGTCGCTCGTGGCTCGAAGGTTGGAATGCCAGACGTTTTGACTCGTGCATCGGAAGTAACGGTGATTTGTGGGTGCGTGTGAGGGCCACCCTGTCAGCTGGAGGATCGGTCCCAGCTGATGTCGAAATGATCTGGATTCCGAGTCGCCTTGATGATGATGTTGAGCGCGTTGAGCGCGAAGGTCCCCAGTATGTTGCCGTGGGCAACGTGTGTGCTGATAAGGCGGCCGGGGACGCAGCCCCCAGGGCTTCCCGATGCATCGTCGGTGGTGAGCCTGAACCTCGGACCGACGAATGGGATGCCATCGCTGCCCTGGTGAGGCGTCGGGTTTGTCGGGCGCTCACGCATACGATTTCCCAAGACCCTTGGAATTCAGATCGTGTCGAGCGCAGTCGTTCGCCGACCCAGACTCGTCTCCAGATTGCGCTGAATCGCAGCCAACATATCTGGGAGAAGGTCCAGGGGCGCTGGCTTCCCACGTGCTGCCGCGAACTCGTTCCGTCCGCCAAGGTCCTAGATGCCGCTGACACAGTTTGTCCCCCCCCCCCTCCCCCGAATTTTAGGGGAGATGTTTTTCCCCGAGAGGTGTCTCGGCGGCCCAAGATCCGATCTCCGTGGGCGGAGTGGAGGTGCACGGCTCGCATTGCTTGCAGTCCTGTCCAGGGTTTTCTCTGCTTTTCTGTTCCGTCTGTGGCAAGACGGCTTCGACTGACTGCAGGCACCTGTGCAAGCCGTGTCAACCATCGCGAAAGGGCAAGGAGAACATTGCGCGCATTTCTCGAGGCCTCCACCCCTGCGCCCAAGGGGCTCCGAAAGCGTTTTGGCGGCCAAGAAGGTCCTCACAGGCGGGACGTCGGGGCCAGCCTCACGGGCTGCAGGGGAAAGGGGCCTCTTCGTAGGCATACGTAGGGAGGGACACTGCGTCCTCAGGTTCCTACGCCTCCTCCTACGCCTCCTCCTCCTCCTCCTCCTCCTCCTCCTCCTCCCCTCTTTTCATGATCCTTATTATCCTCCACACGTCTGCTTCCCCTGCCCCTGGTTCGGGCCCTTCTCTTTCTCCTCCTCCTCCTCTTCCTCCTCCTCCTATTCCTCCTCCTCCTCCCTTTCCTCCTCCTCCTCCTCCTCCTCCTCCTCCTCCTCCTCCTCCTCCTCCTCCTCCTCCTCATCATCATCATCATCATCATCATCATCATCATCATAGTGTGTGGCAACACTTTGCCCCGACTCCAGCAGTGGATAACGCACGGACGACAACTTCTGAGCGTGACGAGGCCGTCGCGTGTTCCGGCCCCACAAAGCCACCACCGTGCTCCTGAGGGGGCCGTCCTCCAGGACGATCGTCGGCGCCTTCGCTTGCCTTCTCCCTCCCCTCCCCCTCCCCTCCCCTCCCCCTCCCCCCCTCCCCCTCCCTCCCTCCCTCCTCCCCCCCCTCCCCCATTCCTTCCCTCCCTTCCCCCTCCCTCTCCCCCTCCCCCTCCCCCCCCACTTGCCCTTTCCCCCCCCTCGCCCCTCCTCCTCGGGCCTCGGGGCGCGGACCCCGACCCCGGAAGGCCTCGGCCGGGATGCGAGAGATTTTCCAGTCCTTCACGACCTCGGAGGCCAGATACTTCGACGAGGAGCCCCGCCAGCGGGCTCGTTATCGCCGCGCGGGCGTTTGCTCGAGCGTCTCCGCCTCCTCTCCTCCCGTCGTGGGGTGGCAGAGGTCCGCGCCGTGGCGCGCGTGCGGCTGCCTGGCGGCCGGGTTGGGTACGGAGAGAGTGCGGTGGGCGGCTTTTCTCCAGAGTTCTGTGCCGAAAGTGCCGTACACTGTCAAGGAGGTGAGGTCGCACGACACGGGGCACGATCGCAGCTGCCCGTGGCTACACATCCCTCCTCCCTCCCCCCTCCCTGCCACATCCCCCCTCCTCCCTGACTTCTTCCCCCCTCATTCCTCCAGGAGCTGGCCTAGGGAACACTAGAACACAAAGGGAGCACAACCATCAAGGTTTGTGCGAGTGGGTGCGCTGCGAGCGAGCCAGCACGCAGTGAAATCACCCCCGGGACCACTTCTCCGAGGATCATTGTGTTGCGCCGCATGCGAGGTGGGTCGCACTGGGCATTGCCTCAGGGAACGCCGCCGCATGTGCACCGCACGAAACACCTCAGCGACCGCAGCCACAGGGGCCACCATTGTCCCCACATACGGCACCCTTCGCCTGGGAAGCTTTTCACCGACCGCCACCAAAAACCACCTCCGTGGCCAATACCACGAGGATCATCATGGTGTGCCGCGAGACAGCCGGCTTGCACGGGAGCACAGTGGTTCGCTGCGTGCGGGTCGGCTCACACGGGATGCGCCCACACCTATCCGTCTGCTCTTCCGTCCCTTTCCTTCCCTCCCCCCAGTGCCCTCGGCCACTCTCCACCCTAGCATGTTTTTACAGTTCAGCTGCCGCGGGCCGTGGTCGAACCAATTCGACGCTCCATCGGTCGAGGCGGCGGCGAGGGAGGTGGGTGGAGGGGACAGGAGCAGAAGGAGGAGGCGGAGGAGGAGGAGGAGTAGGAGTAGGAGTAGGAGTAGGAGATGGATGATGATGATGATGATGATGATGATGATGATGATGATGATGATGATGATGATGATGATGATGATGCTGATGCTGATGCTGATGCTGATGATGATGATGATGCTGATGCTGATGCTGATGATGATGATGATGATGCTGATGTTGATGATGATGCTGACGATGCTGATGATGACTATGATGCTGATGCTGATGACGATGATGATGCTGATGATGATGAGGACGATGATGACGATGCTAATAATGATGGTGAGGATGCTGTCGCTGACGCTGATGATGATGATGCTGATGCTGCTGATGATGATGATGCTCATGATGATGATGGTCATTCTGATTCTGATGATGATGATTATGATGCTGCTGATGATGATGCTGATGCCGATGGCGCTGCTGCTGCTGCTGCTGATGATGATTGGAGTTACGGTAATGATGATGCTGCTGATGTGGATGTTGATGAGGATGCTGATGCTGATGATGATGATGCCGATGCTGCTGATGATGCTGCTGATGATGAAGGTGGTGGTGATGATGATGATGGCGGTAGTGCTGACGATGATCATGATGATGATGATGCTGATGATGATGGTGATGATGATGATGATGATGAAGATGACGATGATGATTATGATTATGATGATGACGAGGATGATGCTGCTGATGATGACGAGATGATGACGATGATGCTGCTGCTGATGATGATGTTGCTTTGCTGATGCTGATGATGCTGTTGACGATGATGACGATGCTGATGATTATGATGATGATGATGATGATGATGATGATGATGATGATGATGATGACGATGTTGACGATGATGATGATGATGATGATGATGATGACGATGACGATGATGTGGATGATGATGATGATGATGATGATGATGATGATGATGATGATGATGATGATGATGATGATGACGATGACGACGATGATGATGATGATGATGATGATGATGCTGATGCTGATGCTGCTGATGATAATAATGATGGTGATGATGATAATGATGGTGATGACGATGATGCTGCTGATGATGATGATGATCAGGAGGAGGATGAGGAGGAGGAGAAACAATAGAGGAGGGGGATGATGATGATGATGATGATGGTGATGAGGAGGATGAGGGGGAGGAGGAGGAGAAACAATAGAGGAGGGGGATGATGATGATGATGATGATGATGATGATGACGATGATGATGATGGTGGTGGTGGTGGTGGTGGTGGTGGTGGTGGTGATGATGGTGGTGGTGGTGGTGGTGGTGGTGATGATGGTGGTGATGATGATCATGATGATTGAGGAGGAGGAGGAGGAGGAGGAGGAGGAGGAGGAGGAGGAGGAGGAGGAGGAGGAGGAGGAGGGGTAAATGGTGAGGCTGGGGAGGCTCTGGAGCAGCGGGTGACGAGAAACAGAAGCAGTAGCGGCAGCAGGAGGAGGATAGCTGGCACGAGTTACACCTACATTCGAGCTGCGCTCTTATGTCGGAATTGTGCTCTCGCCTGAGCGTTGACTACATTCCTGATCGAATGTGGTGCTGTCGCGTATCGCTTTTGAGGAACTGTGCTGTCGCTGGAGTGCCAGCCGCATTCCTGCTTGGGAATGACGCTTTCGCTTCAGCGCTGGCCGCGTCCCTGACTGGGTGTGGTGCTGCCGCGTGAGCGCTGGCCACATCCGCGATTGGGAATAGTGCTGTCGCCTGAGCGGCAGCCGCATTTCTGATTTGGAATGGTGCTCTCCTTTTTGCGCCGGCCACAGTTACATGCTGATGCGCCAATTGTCTTCGTCTTGGAGGGTTGTCCGCGTTGTCTGGGGGGTTGTCCAGGACTTTCCCCAGAATACGTAATATGTTTCGGGCGAGAGTTCAGATGGGGGGGTCAAGAGTAAGCCATGAGCTATTGAGGCCCAGTCTCAGTTTAATGAAGGCCCCTGTCAGCGACTAATGCATGCCGATCGTTTTGTTCCTGATGCTGAGCTGGTTTCTCGTGGCGTTTATCATGGTTCACAACTGTCGGTCATTCATTCCCGGATTCATCATGCATGTTGTATGCGTTCTCATCTTCCTCATCCCCTTCCTTCCTTCTTGCTTTTTTCTTTTTTTTTTGTACATCCTTGTTCATACTTCCTCCTGTTCCTGGTTCGGCTCTTCATCCGTATCCATCATCTCTTTCTCTCCTCTCCCTTCAACCCTTTTCCGTTCCGGCCGCTCCTCCTCGAGGCCTTGCCCTTGTCGTCTTCTTCCCCGCCTCGCCTGTCCAACGGGCGTCCCCCCCCTCCTTCCCCTCCCAGATTCAGAAGCGGAGGGGGGATGGATGGATTTGGATTGCGACGCCTGTCAGCAAATTGTGGCACGCAACTGGCAGAGACAAGTAGGCACAGTCAGAGGCTGAAGAGTCGTCAAGCGAAAACTCTGCTCGGGCACCTAACATTCAAGGACATAAGCCAGCAAAACTTTCAACCGTGGTCGGATCGGCGGCAGCGACACAGGGCGCGGGACGGTCCTGGACCGATGCTGGCGACGCGGCCTTGGTCGCCAGGCCAGTGCAGGCAAGGCTGTACAACAAGACTGCGAGACTGCACGCACGACGAGAGTGCACGATGGGACTTGCACGATGGCTGCGCCCAACTGCACTCCGAACTCCTCCCATCCTCCTCCCGGGCGGAGCGACGGGTACTCCAGAGCTCGTAATAAAAGGGAGGGGGTCTGGACCCTTCAAGACAAGCCGTTTCAGACCCCCCCTCGTGGGAGAACCCTCCAAAACATCGTCCCCAGACCCCCCCAGGCCCTCCAAGATAGCCTGGAAGAGACCCCCCCCGAAATGAGACCCCCCTCCCTTTATTACGAAATCTGGAGTACCTGGCGCGCGGCGGGGAAGGGATCAGAACAAGACGCGTTCTGACTGACTCAGCAAAACTTGGTGACTTGAAACCTGGGTGGCTCGAAGCGACGACCGACGGCCGCTCGGCGCTCCCTCCCCGAGCCTACCCGCAGTACTCGTGGCGGGCGGGCGGCGGCCGCGCGGCGGGGGCGCTTGCTGCCACGTTGCCGCGCCGCTCCCAGGGGAAAGAAAAAGGGTGGGAGGGTGGGAGGGAAGCAGGCAACTTGGAAGGAAGGAAGGATTGAGGGGAGACCTCAGCGGTGGAGCCCTCTCTCTCCACGATCCCCCGACGGGTGGCTCTCGCTTTACAGGCTCGCGGAGGGCGCAGGCAACACGTAGCCTCCTCGAGTTGCCGTTGCAGCTGGTCCACCCTTGTTCAAGGACGGCGGAAGGAGGAGGGGCAATGTCAGCTTGTGATTATCAAATGACCGGCCCCCCCCCCCCCCCAGGGGCGGGGCGCGAAACATTTTTTCATCACGCGCGCAAAGGGGTCGTCGCTGGCGCCGCCGAGGGGATCGTGTACCACCCTGCGTGACAGCCTCAAAACGATTGCCTGTCGTATAGAAGTTGTTAAGTTGGGGTCGTACACATCCGAGGCGATTTTTTTGTCCCCCTTTCAGGCGTCGTCGTCGTCGTCGCCGTCGTCGTCGTCGTCGTCGTCGTCGTCGTCGTCGTCGTCGTCGTCGTGGTCGTCGTCGTCGTCGTCGTCGTCGTCGTCGTCCGTCGTCGTCGTCGTCGTCGTCGTCGTCGTCGTCGTCGTCGTCGTCGTCGAGTATAGCGGGCCTGCGCAGCACCCCCCCATAAGGCATGCATCTCCAGTGCGTCGTCGTCGTCGTCGTCGTCGTCATCGTCCTCGTCTTCGTCCCGTCGTCGTCGTCGTCGTCGTCGTCGTCGTGGTCGTCGTCGTCGTTGTCGTCGTCGTCGTTGTCGTCGTCGTCGTCGTGTTCGTCGTCGTCGACGCCTACACCGGGCCTGCGCAGCACCCCACCCGTCCACAGGGCATCCGCAGTGCGTCGTCGTCGTCGCCGCCGCCGTTGCCGTCTGCCGTCCGTATGCCGTCCGTCGTCCTCGTCCGTCGTCCTCGTCCTCGTCCTCGTCCCGTCGTCGTCGTCGGCGTCGTCGTCGTCGTCGTCGTCGTCGTCGTCGTCGACTACAGAGACCACGACAGAGGGGGGAGGAGGACTGCCCGCCTTGCTCGGGTCGGACGAAAGTCGGGGGAAGGAAAAAGGGGGTGGTGCGAAAACTGCTGCGCGCAGCGGGTTGCGGTCGCCCCGCCGAGGGGCCAGTCCTCGATGCATGGCCACTTTCGGCGCCAGGGGGCGCTCGGAAAATCAGCAGTATGAGCTGCTGGGCAAATCCCCTCTTGGCTACGCCCCCCTTTCGTCCAGCCCGCCTTGCTCGCGGGCCCGCGAGGCAGCTGGCGCCCCCCTGGCTGCGGCGAGGGCAGGGAAGCGCGTCGGTGCGACAGAAGAGAGCACGGGAAGCACGGGGGCGAGCACCGACAGCAGTTCTTCTTCATTTCAAACTGGCGTCGCCCTGGCTCACGGTCCCTGCTTCTGCCGCCTTTGCCTCCCGCCCCTCTCCCCTCCCCCAGTCTGTGCTGTCTGTCACCTTCTCGTTGGCGGCCAGGCGTCGGCGCTAATCACCGGCGCCGCCCCGTTGATTTTCAATGTGGCGGACGCCGCCACGCAATTTACCCGAGCAGGGGAACAATTTTTTAAAACGCGCGCCCCCCACGGATTTGCTACGCAATCGCAAGCGGACGTTGTAAGAGAGGGAGGGGGAGTGGCGAATACGTGGTAATTGGGACGGTCGGCCGGGGTGGGATGGGGGCAAGACTTCTTCCGACCCCCTTTGCAATCTATGCTTTCTCTCCCCTGAGAGATTCTCCCGCCCCTTCTCGGTGCTCCCCCTCGACCAGCCCCCCCTCTCACCAGAGCCCCCCGCGGATGCCCCCGAGACCCATCCCCGTCCGCACTCCGCTCCATCCCCGTCCCCGCCCCCGTCCTCGCCCCCCGTTTTCGTCCCCATGTTCGTCCCCATCCCCATCGCCCTCTGCGCCCCCATCCTCGTGCCTATCCCACGCCCCCTCCCCGTCCCCGTGCTCGTCCTCCTCCTCATCCCTGCCCCCGTCCTCGCCCGCATCTGCTCCCCCTTCCCGCCCCAGCAGCCCGGCTCCGCGGGCGGCCCCCCCGCGCGGCGCTCCGGGCGCCCCCAGGAACGGTTCTCGGAGGCCGAGATCCGGAGATCCCTCAACGACAGCCTCACGGAGAAGAAGACAGATGCCATGAAGCGCGCTCCCCAGCCCGCCCCCCTGCCCTCCTGGGCGGCCTAGGGACACGAGCAGCTCGCCCCAGAGGGCCTCAGAACGCCCAAGAACGTCCAAGAGACGCCGCAACGCTCGGCGCATCCTCCTGGGTCGCGGGGTATCAGGTACCCACGAGCCTTCCCCACTCGATCTGTCCGTAATTGGCCTTGAATTCGTCTTCTCATTGCCCCCTAGGGCCATCATGGGCCAAGGCATGGTGGGCCTTCTTGGAGCCTTCTGGGGCACTTTCACTAACGTAACGTGTCTGAGGCACTTCTGGAGCAGATGACTTCGCCAAGACCGCTGGGGACGTTGAGGGGACCACGCCCCTTACCAAAAATCTGCTAGAGTGGGCTCCCGGAGGAAGGGTTTGGGGAGGGGCAACAATGCCACACGCCGAGGACCCTTCCAATATGTTGGCGAATTGAGAAGAAAGAGCGATGGTGGAGGAGGAGAAGAGTGAGGAGGGGGAGGGTGAGCAGGAGGAGAAGGAGGAAGAGAAGGACGATAACGGAGGAAGAGGAGAAGGAGGAGGAGAAGGAGGAGGAGGAGGAAAAGGAGGAGGAGGATGAGGAGGGAAACTTGCCCTTGGAGACACCAGCCTTTCCCAGGGCTTACCCGCATTCTCCCCGCCATCTGTGCCTCCTGCTCCGAGGCGCATCCTGGCGCACGTGTCCGCTGGCCGCGACGCGAGCGCGCTCTTCCCGGACGTGGTGACCGGCGGCAGCTGCCTGGATCGTTGACGATGATGATGATGATGATGATGATGACGACGACGACGACGACGATGATGATGATGATGATGATGATGATGATGATGATGATGATGATGATGATGATGATGATGATGATGACGATGACGATGACGATGATGATGATGATGTGGTGGTGGTGGTGGTGGTGGTGATGCTGATGATGATGATGATGATGATGATGATGATGATGAGGAAGATGATGCTGCTGCTGATGATGATGGTGATGATGCTGCTGATTCATGACGATGCTGCTGATGATGGTGATGGCGATGGTTATGATGATGGTGATTGTGGTGCTGTTGATGACGATGATGACGATGCTGATTCTGATACTGATGATGATGCTGACGATGCTGCTGCTTATGATGATGCTGATGATGATGATGATGATGATGATGATGTTGATGATGATGATGATGATGATGATGATGATGATGACGATGATGATGATGATGATGATGATGATGATGATGATGATGATGATGATGATGATGATGATGATGCTGATGCTGATGATGCTGATGCTGATGCTGATGATGATGATGCTGATGCTGATGCTGATGCTGATGCTGATGCTGCTACTGATGATGTTGCTGATGCTGCTGATGATGCTGATGATGATGATTGTAATGGTTAATTTGATGATGTAATGGAATGTAATGGAATGGAATGTAATGTAATGGACTGGAAATGTCCTCCAAAGGGGAGTGCACACAGCACCAAGGTCTGATTAACTCAGGCCTTCTAGCCAGATACTCTGGCTTCTTTGTCCCGAATTCTCTGGACAAGTGCAGCCATTCGCTGCTCATACGTAGGGACACTCCCTGAGGCCGAACACGAAATTTGAACCATCGTAAAGCCAGGGACCAACTCAACAGGGGCCTGCTCAGCCGAAGGGGATACCCGAGGAACCAACAAGCCACGACTCAGGAACGCCCTAACTTTGCTGTTAGGCGGTTTACCCTGGAGATAGCGGTGCAACACTTCCTGACCTTTCTTAGTGGGCCGTTCGCCAGGCCTGACACAGGGATGTGCCAAGGACGCAGCTCGGCCCTGGGACCAAGCCCCGCACTTCAAACAAATCCAGCACCGCCTCTCACGGACCTTTTCACCCGACGCGTGAGGAACGTCAGGGCCCTCGAGCTGCAGTGGGGGATGGCCATGCGTCCCTGGTACAGTATGAGCTATCAGTTGCATGTGTTTCAGGTGGATATGGCATCTCACCTCTAGACGACAGCTGATAAGCAGAGTGCGCGCACTATGTGGATTGACAGCGTACTATTGCGAAGGGCTTACGGCCAGTGCCGCCGACCCCGAAGACGACGAAGATGAAAACGAGAGGCGGAGGAGGAGGAGGAGGAGTGGGGGGGAAGAGGAAGGGTGGAGGAGGCGGACGAGGGAGGAGGAGGGGGGCAAGCATGAGGAGGAAGAGCACGAGGAGGAGGAAGAGGAGGAAGAGGAGGAGGAGGAGGGGAGGAGGAGGAGGAGGAGGAGGAGGAGAGGAGGAGAGGAGGAGGAGGAGGAGGGAGGAGGAGAGGAGGAGGAGGAGGAGGAGGAGGAGGAGGAGGAGGAGGAGGAGGAGGAGGAGGAGGAGGAGGAGGAGGAGGAGGAGGAGGAGGAGGAGGTGTTGTGGCATTCTGGGGTCTTTCAGAAACAGCTTTCCATGGTTTCGGGGGCGATCTAGGGGGAAAGTATCTGGGCGGCGTCCTTTGGCCGTCTGGGGGCCCCCTTTGGCCGTCATTAGGCGTTCTTGGGCTGTCTTGTGGGGCTTGGGCCGTCTAGGGGCGCTCTTGCGGATCCGTCGTGGCGCCTCCCCCTCCTCCAGCGCATCTACAGGGCCCCTCTGTGAAAGCCGCAACGGGGGATGCGATTCTGACCGCCCCCTTCCCCCCTCCCGGGGATCCGCCCCCCCCCCCGCCGGGGAAGGGACAAAGGGAAGGGGCTTCCCTTTGGCGTGACTACGGCGTGGGTCGATTTCCCTCAATCCCCGGACTCCCCCCCCGATGACGGGAGAGCGCTCTCTCACCCCCGACGGGGAAGGACACGCAGAAAAGGCGTCCCGTCGACGGTCGACGGGACCAGACAGACGCCCCACACACGCCGACAGGGTCGGCGGATTCGCGGCGTACTGCTCACCTCTTCTCCTGCTCCGTCGAAGCTCCGTGCATCTCGGGGAGAGTGTGCGGCAAGCGCCAGTCACTGGAGGCGTGCCCCCTGTGGACCCCTGCGGGGAGGCTGGGCGGCGGAGGGGGCCGGAGAGCAGGGGAGGGCCTGGGCCGGGCGAGGGGACGGGAGGCGCGGATGGATGCTGCTGCGGATCTGCCCCGTCGTTAGCTCCCAGCTTCGGGCACTGTCCACACCCAGAGGTCCAACGTATTGAAAAAATCGGGGCGGAGGTTTTCCGTAAGTTTCGGCCCCTAGGGGCCCTCGCCCGGGACCGTCCAAAAACAGCTCGGGATGAGAAGCCGGTCCCGGGGAATGGGTCGAGGTCGAAGCTTCCGGGGACCGTGCCTTGAAGAAATCACGACGTCGGATCTCTGGGCAGTTGTCACCGCCGCTGCTGGCCCCAGGCGCAACCTCGTGTCCCGCCTCGGCTGCCGCACCCGTCTCTGCATCCCCCTCTTCGTCTTTGCCCGTCCAGCTGGATTTGCAATATCTGTGCAAGTATGTAGCAACCGAAGTGATCTTTCTTTATTTCTCTCTCTCTCTATATATGTGGATAGATATCTCTGGTTTATTTTAAGTGCTCTCTCTCTCTCTTTCTCCTTCTCGAAGGCTTCCCTCTCTATGTATGCCTGTCTTCCTCTCCTATCTCTTCCCCCCTCTCCCTCACAGGCTCGCTCTCTCGCCTTCCCTGGCGCTATTCCTGTCGCCGTCGCTGTGGCGGTGTCACCATCGCTGGCGCTTCTCTCTCTCTCTGTCCTTGTTTGCTCCTTATTCCTAACCATCCTGTGGTGTTGGGTCCTCGTTTTGAAAGACAGCGGCCCGCGTTCCTTCCTTCCTTCCTTCCTTTCTCCCCTCCTCCTCCTCCTCCTCCTCCTCCTCCTCCTCCGCCTCCTAATCCTCCAGTTCGGTCTAAGCTCAACTTGCGCTGCCCACGTTTTGTGGCCCCATGGTGAGCTCCAGCGAAGGCACCAGTGGCAGCGTTCGCATGGCGGCCCCGCGCCCACTTCGGCACACCCCTCACGCGTTCCGTGGCCCCATAGGGAGCTCCACCAAAGGCCAAAGGCACCAGTGGCAGCGTTCGCATGGCGGCCCCGCGCCCACTTCGGCACACCCGTCACGCGTTTCGTGGTTTCATAGGGGGTTCCGCCGAATGCCCCAGTGGCAGCGTTCGCATAGCGGCTCCGCGCCCATTTCGGCAACCCCCTCCCGCGTTTCGTGGTCCCATAAAGGGGCTCCGCCGAAGGCCGCAGAGGCAGCATTTGCATGGCGGTCCCGCGCCCATTTCGGCACACCCCTCACACGTTCCGTTGCCCCATAGGGAGCTCCACCGAATGCACCAGTGGCAGCGTTCGCATGGCGGCCCCGCGCCCTTTTCGGCACACCCCTCACACGTTTCGTGGCCCCATGGGGAGCTCCAGCGAAGGTACCAGTGGCAGCGTTCGCATGGCGGTCCCGCGCCCACTTCGGCACACCCGTCACGCGTTTCGTGGCCCCATAGGGAGCTCCACCGAATGCCCCAGTGGCAGCGTTAGCATGGCGGCCCCGCGCCCATTTCGGCGCACCCTTCACATGCTTCATGAGCTCATAAGGAGATCCACCGACGGCGATACCCACAACTGCATATGGATGGGCCCTTCGCCAGGATAATGTTGTCGTCTCCCTCTCTCTCTCGCTCTCTCCCGTTCTCCCGCGCTCTAAGCAACGACACCTAGAGGGGGGCGACAGGTCTTACACTGGCCCTGGGCGCGTGGCTGAAGTGCGGTTCCGAGGTGCAGACACACCATCATCAGCATCACCACCACCATCACCATCATCATCACCATCAGCAGTATCATCATCATCATCATCATCATCATCATCATCATCACCACCATTATCATCATCGCCACCACCATCACCATCACCACCACCATCAGCATCATCATCATCACCACCAGCATCAGCATCATCATCATCACCACCATAATCACCATAATCACCATAATCACCATCACCATCACCATCATTATCACCACCATCACCATCACCATCACCATCACCATCACCATCATCATCAGCATCATATCATAATCAGCAACACCATCACCATCGTCATCATCATCAGCATCATCATCATCATCGCCATCGTCACCATCGTCACCATCATCGTTATCATCGTTATCGTCACCACCACCATCACCATCACCATCACCATCACCATCATCATCATCATCATCATCATCATCATCATCACCATCATCATCATCATCATCATCATCATCATCATCATCCATCTCCTCCTCCTCCTCCTCATCATCATCATCTTCTTCTTCTTCTTATTCTTCGTTTCATTATGTTTATTTCTTTTGCCCCGCCCCGCTCCGCGACCCCCCGCGACCGCCCCGCGGTCCACACCCGATCCGCACCGTGACCTGCCCAGTGGCCTGCCCCTCAGCCTGCCTCGCGACCCGCTGCGCGACCCGTCGCGCGATTCGCCCGCCGACCCGTCGAGGATCCATCCGCGACCCACCCACGGTGCGTGCGACAGAACCTGAACACGTCCACTGCCCCCTGGCTGGGCCCTTCTTGGGCCCACGAGCCGTGTGGACGCCTTCCTGGCCAAGCCCGGAGGGCGCAGCGTGTACGCCGCTGCTGGGTTCAGGATGGGCCTGGCCAGGGAGCAGTGGGCATGTATAGATTTCGTTGCCCCAACAGTGTCGTGTCAGACAGACCGCCCGCCTGAGGCGAGCTCGCCGTGCATCGTGCCAGGAACCGACGCCCGGCGGCGGGCTTCTTCGCATCCGCTGCCGAGCTTCGAGACCTTTCAGCGACTTCCCCGCCGCCCACTGTCTCTCAGCCGCGACCGCGTGGGCCACGGTATTTTGCCCTCTGGAGCTGCCCTCGCTGCTCCGAGCCCTGGCGCTCCTGCGCCCCTGTCAAGCCCACGCTCTCCCAGAGCAGGACTTCTCTCCATGGTGGGCCTCTTGCGCCTCCCCAGGTGAAGAACGTGTCGTTCCAGTCGCTGGAGCTCAAGAAGCTGATATACATCTACCTCGTACAGGCAGCAGTGCACCTGCGGCGCATCCGAGGGGGCAGTCAGGAGAGGCAGGGGGCTAGACGAGGCAGGGATCGAACACGGCTAAGGCATCCCAGGTGGGGTTTGCGGGCCAGTCAGGGCGAAGGCACCTGACGCATTATCTGTCCCCGTCTCGTCCCTGCTCACTTCTCTTCCCTCCTCGTCCTTATCCTATTTGCCCCATCCGTGCTGCTGCTGCTCTCTCTTTCTCTATTCCCCATCCATCCCCATCCAGTCGGTTGAGGGCGTGGTGAGGGATGTACGCATCGGTTTGCAGGAGTGCGTTCTAGATTTGATCCCCCGCTCTGCTCTCCTTCCCATGTCTGGCTCTCCCCCTGTCTCCATCTCCACCTGGCCCTCCATCTCCTCTCTCGCCCGTCCCTTCTACGCTTCAAGCGCTCTCCCCTTGTGTGCGCTGCAACATCTGTCCCCTCTCTGTCTGCCCTCCCCTTGTCAGTCGCTGTCCTGGACCGTCGAGCGACCCCCTCCTTGCCTCCGTTCCCGCGCCCCGCCCCAGAACCCTCTTGGCGCGCAGCTCTCAAACACGTGAGCGCGGAGTGGGGATGGTGCAGCGGCAGCGGCGGGGCTCGGCCACCAGAGGAGCGGCACCACAGCTGCGAGGCCGCTCCAACGCGGCCGCGGGTGCCCCAGCGAGGATGGCCTCGGGGCCGGCCGAACCAGCCGAGACGGGCTGCGGTGCCTACCTCGACAGAGCGCAGGGCAGCGGCAGCCAGGCTGCGGCTCCCCAGGCGGGGCTGCGCAGGGCGGCGGCAGCAGGCGGTGGAGAGCGCCGCCCTCCCGCACTCGCCCGAGCGCGGGCCTGTCGAGGGCGGGTCGCGGAGTCGCCGGCAGGATCTGCTGCTCCTCCGCCCTCCTCCTCCTCCTCCTCCTCCTCCTCCTCCTCCTCCTCCAGGATCTGCTGCTCCTCCGCCCGCTCGCTCCGCTTCGTCCGCGGGCCGGCCCCCGGGGGCCCCCCGGGAGCTGGAGGACGGCCAGCAGGGGCACACCAGCACCGGTCCTGGCCGGGCCCCTCGCGTCGGCGGCGAGCGAGGGGGGGGGGGGAAGCGAGAGGGAGAGGGCCTTCTCAGAAGGCACGGAAGTCCTCCAGCGTCCCGTGAAGCTTCCTAGGCCTTCCCAGAAGGCACAGGAGGAAAACTTTCAGGAGGGGCGAGGGCTTCCGGGAGGTCCCGCCGCCTTCTGAGGAGGCCTTCTCCCTCGCACTTCCCCCCCTCGCTCGCCGCCGATCTTGGGCCTCGGATTTGTGCAGGATGTCTCAGGAGGGGAAAAAACACAGACACAATTAATCCTCGATTCCCCAGAAAATATGGGAAAATATGGGAAGTGGGCGGGAAGACGAAAAACCCAAAAATACAGGAAAATATGGGGGATCCTGTTATTTGTGTGTATTTGTCTGTGTGTCCTTGGACCCCTTGGATTTCGTCTCCCTGGCCAGGCCGGGAGGGCAGGCACACCGATCCTGGGCCCAGGATGGGCCTAGCCAGGCTGGTTGCTGCTGTGTGTCAGGAGAAACAAAAACACACAGACACAATTATTCGTCGATTCCCCAGAAAATATGGGAAGATATGGGAAGTGGTGGGGAAGACAAGAACCAAGAAAATATAGGAAAATATGGGGAATCCTGTTATTTGTGTGTATTTATTTGTGTGTCCCAAGGCCCCTTCAGTGTGGGTGGCGTTCTCCTGGAGGTGGTGCTGGGGCCGATCTCCTCCCCGCGGGGACCGGGCGAGCGTCGCGGAGCGGCTTGGGCTCCTCCCCTCGGCTCCTCCCCTCGGCTCCTCCTCTCGGCTCCTCCGACCTGCCTCTTCGCCTCCTCCCCTGGTTTCCCCCCCTGCGCTGCCAATGTGGCTTCCACAGTATGCTGAGAACAACCGCGAGCTGGCCTTGCTCTCCATTAACAGTTTCCAAAAGGACCGCCGCGGGGTGGTGGTGCCGTGGCGCCCTTGTCTGTATATGAGCTTCGCCAATGACGGGTTGATGCAAGTTGGCTTAGAGAACTTGCGCGCCATTTTTATAACTCTTTTTGTGTGTTGTGTGTGTGTGTGTGTGTGTGTGTGTGTGTGTGTGTGTGGGTGTCAGTGTTTGTGTATGCGTTCTGCAATGTGACATTAGAACATGGTCGAGGGTATCGATGGCCATTTGGATTCTTAGGGGATATGTGGGCGATTGACGATTTGTTTGAGACAATTGTAGCGTGTCAAATGCCGCCGGTGATGCGCAAGGAGAGGTGTTGAGTGTTTATTGTGGCGTCCATCAGTGCTTTCGGGTGTCACTGGGTAGGGGGAGGTCGTGCGAAGTTGTTGGGACTGTTCTTGCATGCGTCGCCGCCACGCAACGAGGTCAGGAAGGGCCGCACTGGTGGTGCGCGTAATTCCTGTCGATCGAGGCCATACTTCCAAGAGAGGAGAAACCGGTGAGTCTGAGTGCGTTTGCCTTCATGTCTTCGCTGCTGGCTGAGCGTCCCACTTCCCTCCTCTCTCATCTTTCCTCCCGCTTCTCTCCTCCCTTCTCCCTGCCTCCTCCTCCCTCCTGCTCACTCCTTCCTCCCTGAGCCCTTCTCCCTCCTCCCTCCTCCCCCCTGCTGCTTCCTCCCTCCATTGCCGTCTTCGCCGGCCTCACGCCCTCTCCGTGTGCGCCCGCTTGGCAGGACCTGTCGGACAGAAGTCAGCTCGTCCGGGCATCCGCGCTGAGAGCGATGTCCTCCATCAAGGTGCTGGAGGCGATTGCTGACAGCCGGCAGGGAAAGGGGAGGACGGGTGACGTGGCGGTCTGGGAGCGATGGGGCAGGCAGGGGCGATGAGGATGCCCTTCGCTCGGCATGAGTCCGAGGGCGGTCGGGGGTTGTGTGGCTTGCTCTGCTTCTTTCCTGCCCTGCTTTCGCCACTGCGCGCTTCCGGGAACTGGTACTGAATCTTGTCACGCGTTTCACAAGGAGCCGATCAGTAGCTGCTGGTGCCTCCACAGTGGCCACCTTTGGCTGGACCTCACCAGCGCGTCGGAGGAACAGGTGTACGGATGAGTGTGGGTCTGTGTGTGCTGACCCGGTCCGCGCTCTCTCTATCGCTCGATTGGCCCTCCGCCGCGCCGGCCGTGCTCGTGGCCGCTACGCCAAGAGTGCGCGCTCGTGTGGATGTGCACCGCGACGCCAGAGGCGCTGATCGGGTGCGTACTGATAGGGGGCCACATCCTCCCCACCACGACTTCTGAGGGGGTAGGGGTGGGGTTCGCATGTGGCCCCCTGAATGAGGCCCCTTCCCCGCCACGGCTCCGATCGGCGGTTGGCTCCTCCGCTCCCCCCCGATCTGCCCGCATCAGGGCCATAGCTCGCGCTGCGCAGTTGCCGATGGTGTTCGCCGGCTGCTGGACGCTCCACAGCCCGCTTATCGAAGTGAGAGTGGGGCGCCCCGCGCGTCACCGATCGGTCGCTGGCTCTCTCTCTCTCTCCTCCCCGCTCTGCTTGCCTCCGGGCCAACTCGCGCCGCGCAGTTGCCGATGGTGTTTGCCGGCTAATGGCCCGCTCAATGACAAAGATGACGACGACTGCGACGACGAAGACAACGCGGGCAGGACATTCATTCTGGCGGGCGAGTCGTGCGGGTGCGACAGTAAAGCGAGCCAGTTTGACGGCGGGCGGGCTTGTTAAATGTGAAGTGGTGTGTGTGTGTGCGCGCGCGTGTGTGTGCGCGCGTGTTTGTGTGTGTGTGCGTGTGTGTGTGTGTGTGTGTGTGTGTGTATGTCCCGTTTCGCTTCCTCGCCAGCGCAGTGACTCTGTCTAGCCACCACCGACGAACAAGCGTGTGTGTGTGGGTGTGTGTGTGGGTGAGTGTGTGTGGGTGAGTGTGCGTGTGTGTGTGGTGTGTGTGTGTGTGGGTGAGTGTGTGTGTGTGCGTGTGGGGTGAGTGTGCGAGTGGGCGGTCGGGTGGGTGGGTCGGCAGAACGGCTGGGCGGGCGGGTGAGCGAGTGAGTGGGCGGGTGGGCGGGTGGGTCGCCTGGGCGGGCGGGCGGGCTGCTGACGGCGCGGGTGCCTCCCTCGCCTGGGCGCGCCCCTCCGGCTGTGGCACTCTGCTCTTTGCGCGCGACGGAAGCTTGCGCCTTCCGCCAGGTTATCCAGCTGGTCATGGTGGCCGTGAGGAGCCCGGCCGTCTTTTCAGCTGCGGCCGCTTCGAATAACGGCCTTGGGCTGCGTTCTTCCCCCCCTTCCCTGGGCCCACCTCGTTCCAGGAACGGGTAGTGGAGGGTGGAGGAACGAGCCGTTCCTCCACTTCCCGTCCTGAGTCCTTCGCCCCTTCTCCTCCCATCCCGCTTTCCTCTCCCCACCTCGTTGTAGAGCCACCAGGTCAACAGGCACGACGCCGGCGCCCACGGACGAGCTGCAGCATGTCTCCCCCAAATCCCTTGCACAGCCTCCCCGTTCCACCTGCCACTCCCCCTTCTGCCCACCTTCCCTCTCAATTCCCCCTTGCACGTGCCCTGCTCCTGCCCTGTCCGTTCCCACCCCGCCCGCCGCTCTGCGTCGCCCCCCTGCCCCTGCGCTGCCTTGGCCCACGCCTCGCCCGCCAAGCCCTGCCGTGCCCTGCTGCTCCCCCCCCCCGAGTCCGCCTCGTTCGTTCTGCTCGCAGGGCGCTGAGCCGTGATGCCGCACTCGCCAGGGCTCTGCAGCAGAGCCCAACGAACGAGGCGTGAGGGCATGCAGATGCAGCAGATGCGGCAGGCAGCGGAGCTCTCGCTGCGATGCAGTCTCGACCTCGCCCCGTGCCTGCCTCGATCTCCACGCCGCGCCTGCCTGCCTGCGCCGCCCCGCGACGCCCCCGCGCCACCCCCAGGCTGTTTCCGCGCTGTCCTCGCCCCGCCCCGGCGCTGGCGCCCGCCTTGCTCCGCCTCCTCGCCGGCCGGCCTCCGCCTCCGCGCTGGCCCCGCCTCCGCCCCCCCGCCGCCTTCGGCCGCCCAGGACCGCCTCCAGCGACACCTCGCCCTATGTCAGAAAGACGGCCGCGCAGTGCATGACCAAGGCCGCCCAGGGGCGGCGGCGTGCGCGCGAACTCTGCGCGTCCGCGAACGCCGCCCACAGGGGAGGAGGAGGAGGAGGAGGAGGAGGAGGAGGAGGAGGAGGAGGAGGAGGAGGAGGAGGAGGAGGAAGAAGAATCGTATGAATATGATACTTGGTACGAGTGGATGAGGATGAAGATGAAGATGAAGATGAAGGTGAAGGTGAAGAAGAAGAAGATGATGATGATGATGATGATGGTGATGGTGATGGTGATGGTGATGGTGATGATGACGAGGATGATGCTGCTGATGATGATGATGAATCTGAAGATGAGGACGGTGAGGATGATGAGGATGATGGTGACGATGACGATAGCGAGTCGATAGCGATGACGATGTCGACAACGATGACGTTGTCGATGGCGATGCTATTGATGATGATGAGGATGATAAGGATGCTAATGATGGTGATGATGCCGATGGTGATGATGCTGATACTGTTGATGGTGATGATGATGCAAATGATGACGATGGTTCTGGTGGTGATATTGGTGGTGATGATGATGAGGATGAGGATGAGGATGAGGATGATGTGCTGATGATGTTGCTGATGCTGATGATGATGATGATGATGTTGCTGCTGATGATGATGATGATGCTGATGATGATGATGATGATTGTGATGATGATCATGATGCTGATGCTGATACTGCTGCTGATGAAGGCGACGATGATGAGGAGGATGATGATGATGAGGATGAGGATGGGGGTGTTGATAATGATGATGATGATGCTGATGCTGCTGCTGATGATGATGCTTATGATGATGAGGATGATGATAATGATGATGATGATAATGATGCTGATGATGATGCTACTGATGGCGATGATGAAGATGACGATGCTGTCGATGGTGATTATGATGCTGATGATGATGCTGCTGATGATGATGATGATGATGATGATGGTGGGGGTGGTGGTGGTGATGATGATACTGCTGCTGCTGATGATGATGATGATGCTGCTGCTGATGATGAGGCTGATTCTGGTGATTCGCTGCTGATGATGATGATGACGATGATGATGATGATGATGATGATGATGATGATCATGATGAGGATGATGATGATGATGATGATGATGTTGATGGTGATGTTGATGATGATGATGATGATGATGATGGTGATGGTGATGATGATGTGATGATGATGATGATGATGATGATGATGATGATGATGATGATGATGATGATGATGGTGGTGATGATGATGATGATGATGATGATGATGGTGTGATGATGATGATGATGAGGATGATGATGATGATGAGGATGATGATGATGAGGATGATGATGCTGCTGATGATGATGATGATGATGGTGATGATTGATGATTGATGATGATGATGATGATGATGATGATGATGATGATGATGATGATGATTATGATGATGATGATGATGATGATGATGATGATGATGATGATGATGATGATGATGATGAGATGATGATGATGATGGTGGTGGTGGTGGTGGTGGTGGTGGTGGTGATGATGATGATGATGCTGATGATGATGATGATGATGATGGTGGTGGTGGTGGTGGTGGTGATGATGATGATGATGATGATGATGATGATGGTGGTGGTGGTGGTGGTGGTGGTGATGATGAGGAGGAGGAGGAGGATGAGGATGAGGATGACCCCGCTCTCCAAATGCAGGTCGGAGCCGAAGCGCTCGCGCCCACCGCAGCTGTCTCACTCACGCACGGAGTCTTTGGGCCCTCTCCCCATGGCTTCCGAGCAGTCACACCCTAAGCTACATCCGTCTTCTTGCCGATGATGTGCTCGATGTACGCGTCGGCAGCGCTCGATGACCGCGCCATCAGCGCTCGATGAGCAGCGTCACCCTCCCACCTCTGCATGCCGACGGCCCACAGCGCCTCGACGCAGTCGTATTGCCGCGTGGCAGCTGCCGCCACCGCTTCCATGTCGACGACCTCGAGGAAGAACTCGCCCTCGCCAAAGGGTGGCGGCAGGACCGACTCCTCGCCGTCGCAGTTCTCCCCTTCGTCGTTCTTGGATGGCACCCCCATGGCGCTCCGCAGCTCGCCGAAGTGCTCCTCCTCGTTGCTCAACTCGAACCCGATGACCTCGGGCTCCTGATGCTCTGCCTGCCCCTCATGCTACTCGCACGTGGGCTCCTCGATTAAGTTCGGCGGCTCCTTGCACGACGCCCGCGCACCGCCGCCTTGCTCGTCCCCCGCGCCGTCACCCGACACGTGAGCCTCCAGCTCGTTCTGGTCCTCCTCGTCGTCCTTGGGCACCCCCACGGCACCCCGCAGCGCGCCGAAGTGCTCCTCCCCGTCATTCAGCTCGAACCCGATGGCCTCGGGCTCCTGCTGCACTGCCTGCCCCTCATGCTCCTCGCACGTGGGCTTCTCGATCTCGTCGAAGTGCTCCTCCCCGTCGCCGCCGCCGAGGAGCGCCGCGGGGTGGGCCGCCAGGTACTCCGCAACCACGGCGCTGCTTGCGGCAGCCGTCGGCGCGGCCGTGCAGGCCGTGGCAGCCTCCGAGCCGCCAGGCGACGGGGGGAGGAGCAGGGCCGCCTCGGCTTCCGCCTCCAGCAGTCCTGGCGCCACACTAGCCGCGGCCCCGCGGGCCTCCGCAGCTCCAGCGCCCGTCTCGGGCAGGCAGGCCTCGGCTGCGTTCTCACAGAGGTACGGCTTGACGCAGGGCCGCAGCAGGGTCCTCGCGGCCGCCACTCCTAGCTCACGCATCAGCACCTTAACGTCGCAGGGCGGGCACGCCTCGGCAAGGCGCCACCCCGCCGCGAGGCCATCCACGAAAGCCCCAGCTCCCCACACGACGTGCTTCTCGCCGAACGCTTGCCACTCGCCAGGCCGCAGCACCTCGGCCTGCGGCTCCACGTGCAGCTTCTCGACCCGATGCCTGAAGAGCGACGCCTCCGCTTCGCTGATGATGACCTCGCACTCGACATCGCACTTCATTGCTGCTGCAGCGGCGGCTCCACCAGGCAGGCGGCCTTCGCGCTGTGTAGTCTTCCACTCCGACCAGGGAACCCCGGCCTGCGGGCAACGCTTCGCATGCAGCGAGACCTTCCGCACCAAGCGCTTCCCACCGCTCTCGGGCGCGCCGCTGAGCCTCGCCACCTGGGAGGGCCTGGCTAGAGCCTCACGGCGGGCAGCCTGTGCTTCGACGCCGCCTTCGCCCCATGCAGCCCGCTGGTCCAGCACCGCTCGCAGCCTCGCGCACTCCGTGCGGGCAGCCTCCAGCTCCTAGCTCGGGCGCCTCACCAAGCGGTCTTCCGAGGCACGCGCCCCCTCGGCTCCTCGAAGGACGCGCGGCGCCTCGCCAGGGCGCCCGCTCCTCGCAGCCATCACCCGGAGGCGGGAGCCACGCGATCCCGCGCCATTTGCCGACCCAAGCGAGTTTGAGCCAGCTAGCTTGAGCCAAATGGCTTGAGCCAAAATGGCTACGGATGATGATGATGATGCTGCTGATGATGATGACGATGATGATGAGGATGCTGATGAGAAGGATGATGATGAGGATGAGGATGAGGATGATGCTGATGCTGCTGCTGATGATGATGATGATGCTGCTGATGATGATGATGCTGATGATGTTGATGTTGAGGTTGACGATGATGATGCTGCTGGTGATGATGATGATGATGATGATGATGATGATGATGTGATGATGATGGTGATGATGATGATGATGATGAGGATGAGGATGAGGATGATGATGATGAGGATGATGATGATGGTGGTGGTGGTGGTGCTGATGATGATGATGATGATGATGAGGATGATGATGATGATGATGATGATGACGATGTTGACGGTGATGATGAGGATGAGGATGATGAGGATCAGGAAGACGATGAGGAGGAGGAGGAAGAGGAGGAAGATGACGACGGCGAAGCTGGTGTGTTGATGACGGTACTGTGCATTTTTGATCGTGCGCTGTGGCAACAAGAGGTGCTTGCAAGGACTCCTCCGCAGCTCGGCCGGAGCGCGAGCCAGCCGCCAATCCCGAAGGTCTACGCAGTGGACGCCGACCAGTTCTTCGAGCTGAGGGGACTGCTCCTCCGGCTCATGAGCGACCACGAGGCTGGGCGACCGTTGTCTTCCTCGTCCTCTCGCATCCCCCTGCTCCTGCTCCTGCTCCTACTCCTGCTCCTGCTCCTGCTCCTCCTCTTCCTCCTCCTGCTCCTGCTCCTGCTCCTCCTCCTCCTCCTCCTCCTCCTCCTCCTCCTCCTCCTCTCTCCTTCTCCTTCTCCTTCTCTCTCCTTCTCCTTCTCCTCCTCCTTCGCCGCCTCCTCCTCTCTCCTCTTGTCTGCTGCAGGGTTCAGGGGTGATGAGCATCAGAGCTATAAGCGTCGCCGACGGTCTGAATATATATATATATATATATATACACACCAGTATGGACCCATGGATTTAACCCACGGAGTTGGGCGGATCGAAGCATGGTGGCGCGCGCTGGGTGGTGCGACGCTGCCAGCTACTGCCGTAGATCCCTTGAAGCTTGTTCTAGTGTTGTTCCCCCACCGAAGGTGCCCAATGCATCGAAACGGGGGCCGAAGTGTTCGAGCTTCGCAAGAGGCAGAAATTCAGGAGTCCAGACCTAGCAACGTTGGAAGATTCGCGCCGGGATCGCGGCGGACGCGGGAGCGGGTTCGGGCAAACGCGGCGCCGTCTCGGGCCGCGTCGGAGGCGTCGGAACGGCGTCGCGGCAAAGTAGGGAGCGCAGCGGGGCAGCCCCAGGGCCACCGGAGCGTCAAAACATTTTGTTGCGCTTGCGAGGGGCCTCTCGCCTCTCGTCCGCCCCCCTCTGTTGGAAGCAATTTTGAAGCTTCTTGGGACCCGTTTGGGAGCTCTATGGGAACTGTTTTGGGCTCCTCGGGGGCTTCTGGGAGCCCTCTTGGGCCGGCAGGGCGCCTCGTGGGCCGTCTTGGGGCCGTCTTGGGCCATCTTGGGCGCGCCTATCGGGCCGTCTTGGGGCCATCGCGGGCTATCCTGAGCCCCTCTTGGGCCTCTCGTGGGGTCCTCTTGGGTCGTCTTGGGCGCCTCTTGGGCCGTCCTGGGCCCTTCTGGAGCCATCTAAGGGCCCTCTTGGGGGCCGTCTTGGGAGATCTTGGAAGCCTCTGGGGCCGTTGTGGACGCTTCGAAAAGCAATAAGCCGAATCTGCTGAAAATGCAAGTTTTCCGAAGGGAATGTGACGAATTTAGCTTGAAGGAACCCTTTCGGGGGACCCCTTGGACCCGCCTGGAACCGTCCAGGGGCGTCTTTCGGGCTCATGGGGCCGTCTGGAGAGCATCTTGGGCCGCCTGAGGTCGTCTCGGGGCCTCCATAGGCCGTCTCGGGGCTGTCCTGGGCCCCTCTTGGGCCTCTCGTGGGGTCCTCTTGGGTCGTCTTGGGCGCCTCTTGGGCCGTCCTGGGCTCGTCTCGAGCCATCTTTGGGCCCTCTTGGGGGCCGTCTTGGGCGATCTTGGAGGCCTCTGGGGCCGTATTGGACGCTTCGAAGACCAATAAGCCGAATCTGCTGAAAATGCAAATTTTCCGAAGGGACTGTGACGATTTTTGCTTGATGGAGCCCTTTCGGGGGACCCCTTGGACCCGCCTTGTGCCGTCCGGGGGCGTCTTTGGGGCTCATGGGGCCGTCTGGAGAACATTTTGGATCGCCTGAAAGCCGTCTTGGGTCGTCTCGGGGCCTCCATGGGCCGTCTCGGGGCTCTTCTGGGGAGCTCCGGTGCCGTTTCGGGCCCTTGCGGGGGCCCTGCGGAGCCGTTTCGGGGTTCTCGGAGGGCTCCGGGGACCGGGGGCCCCCGCAAACCCACCAGGCATTTTTCGGATTTATTTGAATGGATATATATATATATATATATATATACAACTACCAGGGAATTTAGCCCAGCGTCGAAATGGGCCCGCGAGTCTGTAGACTCCCCTGAAGCTTCTCTGAGAGGCTCTGGGGGCTCTCCAAAGGGGGTTCCAGAGGCTGTCCAAGGGGCCCCGGGGGCTCTCCCAGATGTTGTGGGACCTCTCCCGGAGGTTTTGGGCCTTTCGGGAGTGGTGATAGGCAGAAGCTCTGCATGGGGGGGCGATTGCGAAGGCGATGCGACATCCGGGCTGGAGATGTTGAAATGCCTCGGAAGAGTTGTTGTCAAGACTTCTTCGGGCGGGATATCTGGGTAAGGGAACATCGGACCCCCCTGTGCAAGAACAGCTTCCCTATGGGGGGGAGCTATCATGATGGATGCATGCTGCACGTAGAATCATAGAGCTCTCGGGTAAAATGGTTGTTGAGTTCTCATTCCTGAAGAGTAATTATTGTTACCCCCCCCGCCCGGTAACCATTGTATTTTTCAATTGAAGTGCTCTTCCCAGGGCTCGCACCCTGCTTTTACAAGGGAAAGCTGGGTGTCACCAAACTGGGCCCCTAGCCTCCAGGTGACAATAACAACGGCTTCCGCTTGATATTTCCTCACAATGTATTTCAAAATCGCGCTCTCGCGCGGGACCTCCTCACAAGTTATGCAGGATTCGCTCTCCCGCGTTGGACATCCCCACAATCATTCAGACACCGCGCCGTCGACACTCAGGAATCACGCTCTCGCTTTAGCTCGCCTGCTCGACCTGGCCGTCTAGGCCCGCCTTCGTGGCCCCGCTGTCGCCCTTCGTGGCCC